ATAATAGGAATTATTTAGAATCTGATGAATAAAGATAGTAAAAAAAAAAGTTTAATTTACATATTTAATATTATTTAGCAGTATTAAATGTAAATTAATAATAGTCGAAAAAGTCGGTTCATTTAACAAAAAAATTAAATTCAGGGAATTTGAAAAAAGTTACAACTGTTCAAAAACAAGTGAAAATAAAGAAATTCGATATATTTAGAATTTTTTGTATAAAAAAGGTAAGAATGCCAAGAAAGCCACCAATGAAATTTGTATCAGTTCGTGTAGCACAACAATGGTTCGCCGCTTCCATTCTGAAATTTCCACTTATGGAAAATTGGCAAAAAAAATGGTTTATTTATTTATTAGTATAAAAAAAAACTAATTAAGTGAAGTTTGATTAAAAATACGGAAAGACTTTTTTTATGAAAAGGAAAGATAAACAAAAACCGACTCGAGTTGACTGACTTTTGTCGTTGTTGTTGTTGTTGTTGTAACGGCAGAATTCTGCCGAATTGACAGTCCTTGGCCGGATAAAAATCCGGGTCCGTTCCGGGTTTCGTAGACCCGACTGTCGTGGGAACGGGACTTTTGTCGTCGTGTGAACGCACTGAACGGCACCAAACGAGAATTTACCGATTATGTGCGACAAAAGAGTCCTCGTTTATTTAATGAAACCTGCCATCAGAATATATTGTATATATTGCAGTTTATGTGCTGAACATATAGAGTGCGACACGACATGACTGCACGGCAGTAAACTGCAAAAATCCATTTTGTACATATGTACACAATTTCGTTATGGCCATAACCTTTTACTTCAATATATTTTGCTCAGTGAAATTTTTTATGCAAAAAATAAGTAAATAGGTACATTTTTTTGTTTTATCTCTGTTAAAATATAACAGAGCTATTTTACACTTCTCTTTGTAAAATAACACCAGGTTTCTTAGAGTTTTGAAAAATTTAAATATTAGTGGCATCACTCCTCTCTACAGTCATTTCTACTGTTGTCGAGAGCGACAACTGTGAGACTGCAGCCGTGTAGTCGTGCAGCTGTCTAAATAACTATGCAGACAGATGTCGCTTGCAGTCTATCGCACTAAATGTAATGTTCAAGTAAAAAAAAACAGATAAGTGTATAGTCATTAAAAGGGGACTCAAGAGTTACAAGGTGAACGATTTATCGAGAAATCTGTCACAATATCCCCAATACAGTTCCATCTCTAAGACTACCAATTTGAGAATTTGGAATCAATGCATAAAGCACATTACAAAATAAACAAGAATTATCACTTTTTCTTAGAACGTTGTTCATCTAATTTGATGTATTTTAAATTTATAACTGTATAATATATTTCTTAGATCTGCACGCATTTATATATTTGTATATTATTAATTTCTGTTATGCGATTTTAATTCACTAAACACTTTACTTTGATGTTAATTCACATTCTTTATAATTCGGGAGTGAGATTTGCACATTTATTTTAAGCACTTTGTTACCGTTTTGCAGAATTTACCAACCGATTAAGCGGTAAGAAAATTTTCCGACTTTTAACAAACAGCACGATATAATTCTATTTAAATATTACTATGCGTTATGGCGGATAATTAGTCTGGCAAACAAAAATCACATTTAATAAGCTAATAGAAAATAAAACTGACATGTAATAGAAACAGGGAATATAGCTGACATCAGAGAAAGAGCAGAGAACGTATATGATAGACGTTCTCTGATATATTTATACGTTCTCTGATAAATGTACGTTCTCTGGTCAGTGTGTTACAAATCTGTTGAAACCAGAAACACAGGGCGTCACAAAATCGAAAATCGAGTTTTAGACAGCATAAAATATTTAATACTAGATGAGCAAAAGGTTGAATAATATTTTATAATATATTATATATATCCATATTATGGAAGGTAATGTTATAAAAGCGAGTTTTCAATAAACAGGTTTTCTCGTGCAAATAATATGTAATCTTACCTTGTAATTTAATGCTCCTACAATAGTACGAATTAAGCAACTCTACTCTTTTCGTTTTTTTTTTTTGCGAGGAATATTGGAGAAAAGGAAATGTAAAAATCTTGTACCGAAGCGAGCATTTGTGGATGATTAATTTCATAGAAATTTGTGGTTGAAGTGAATAAGATTTCTCGGTGACAAAAATTACTTTTTAAAATAGTGGTAAGCGACACATAAAACATTTTTGGAACAGTTTAATTTTTTTTGACTCAATACATATTCCCATATATGAGCACATGTGTATGTATGAATTTAGATTTAAACAAATGTAAGAAAAAGGAAAACATTGGTTAACTTGCCAAAATAGGGAGAATATTCCATGCCGGCTTTGGATACGTTTGGCATTTTGCAGTGTTTGTTCATTCGTTTATTAGACAGGATGATTTTGAAATAACAAGTTGTGGGGTGTATATATCAAGGCCATGAATACGTATATTCAAGAGATTTGGGCGTGATTTAATCTCTGATTCTATAAAGAGAGAGGCGGGTGGTGAAATGCATATTTATTTGTGAAGATGTTGACTAACCCACATACAAACGTAGGTGTAACTTTTCACTGGCGTTCCTCCAAGAAAAGAGAAAAACTCAACAACAAAAGGACTTGGCAGCTGCTTGATTTCATTAAATGGAATATCACAAATAATTTATTTTTGGTTGATGACTTAATTTTTTATTACATTCAGAAATACTTTCCATAAAAATACATATATTGCAAGTACTCGTTACGATATCATATACGTATGTATGTGCATATCTTCATTTGTTATTGAAAAATATTAGTGAATTGTGCCTCTACATACATACATTGTTATTCAATTTGAAATGGATAAATTTAACATTTTATATTAATTATCAATACTGTATGTGTAATATATGGACAAATATTAGGATAATCTTCTGAAAAATTGTGGTGTGTGGGGATTAATGTAATGTAATAATTTATATTTTCTAAAGTTAGATAAAGAAAATCAATAATAATTAAGTTGTTTCATAATATTTATAGTATATATATTTTTTGGATTTAGTATTTTTATTGTTGATTTGTCTAGAATCTGTGTTTATTATTATTTTTAGAACCTGTGTTTATAGACACTGAAAACAGCAAAAAAAAAAACTCTTAATGTAGACTCCTTACCTTAAAGCTACATAAAAGCTCTTATCGTGATTTCTCTTATATTGTATTCGCATGCTGGTTAGTTTTCCGGAGTTTTCTCTTTACGCAGTAACCAACAGCAAAAACTGGAAAAACATACGTGTGGCTGGATTCAAATATTATGAGAAGGTTTAGTTTATACAGTTTATTGGCCTTCTGAGCTCTCTTCCTTGAAGTTGGGTAAAACTTTCGCCATGCATACTTCAATTTGTTTCTATTTTAACACTTTTTTATTTTGCCTGGTTAGAAGTATGTTTTATGACTTTTTTTGGTGTGGGTCTGGCTAAGGGATGATAGGGTTAAGAAAAAGTAATGCGAAGTAAGTTTTCATTTCCGTGACATCCGATATTAACACACGAAATATGAAATGGCCCTTAAATTCTTAAATGAGATGTTTTCCTTTATCATGCCATGTGTATGCGGTAAACCCACCCATTTGTCGAAGAACCGAATAAGACATATTACACTTGTAAACCTTACTTGCCTTGTGATGGTTTTAAGTACGTTGACTTTGAAAATCGCCATACAAATCAAAATTGTGCCAAAGAGAGCCCTTCATCTATGCACTCTGTTGAAGTATCATATCGAGATGCATTATGAACATATCCCTACATTCCAGCTCATTTTGCTTTTAAAGCGTCATCTTTTTTTCTTGCTTAGTGTAAATCTTATTTTAACGCATGCGTAAATAAAGTAAATTAACTTTATATTAACATTGCAAATATTTGTGAATGTGTAGATTGAGATTTCATATAAATAAAGAGTGTATACATAATAGGCTGCGTTCTTGTCGAACTATATTAAGACAGTTGTACTTCAAATATTTTCCTGCAATTCCTTTTATATATACATCCATATTCTCTCATCATATGTCCTTCTCTTAAATGAAGAACACGAACTCATTGGAATATTGTTTCGGTACCGTGCCGTAGCTGCTGGGTGTACAGTCGGCATGCGAGCACGTTCCGGACCACTTCTTACATTGTGGTAGAAAGCATTGAGCATTGTTTTCACGAAATTTAAAAGCAATTTTGTCGGATGTGTTGTTTATAAAAGTCAATTATATTAGGAGTATGCTAGCAATCATCGAACTAAGTTTAATATATATTTTTTTTATTTGTTAATTGGCTAAGAAAAAATTTAAAGCGACAAAAATGATGATTATGATATTAATCTTTTGTCGAGGAGTGCTTTAAAGTGCCGGTGCACTAAATTCAACTAATTTCACCTATTTTCTTGATAATCTAGTCTCAAAATCATTTAAACGTATGTGTGCCTATATAAAATGTTTAATTGACAATAAATAAAATCCGATATTTTTGTAATAACTGTGTTATTCTTCATTTCGAGTTTAAAAAAGTCCAACAATCATTCCAAGGCAGTCATCATGTATTAAATAATTTCATTATTGGTTCCAATGTTACGAGCCCGGAATAGCCTGACCTAATTAATTTCCTGTCAGCTGATTAATAGCTACACTTATGTGTATGCGTTATTTTATAGGCGTTGGCGCTAGTATGCTTGTTTTTAGAATAAACCAATAGTAAATATGAGGAATATTTTTAATTTTTGTTTGGTGCTAATGACGTCACCATAAATATGTAGATCATTTAGGCTTACTAAGAAACTTTAAAATCTGACTAATATTAAGAAATCTTAACTCCTAATAAAATGTAATTGAACTCTGTCGCGAAGTTAAAAATATAACTACATATAAAATAATGAATTATATTCCAAAAATTTACTGTATGTAAATTATATAAAGTTATATACATAGTGGTGCATCCTAATTTCTTAGAAAAATTAATTTTGAATAATTTATATTCAAGAGAAATGTTTTCCTGTTGTCGTGCTAGTTCGAAAAATTCGAATTTACAAAAAAAAGTAAAAAATAAAAAAGTTGATGCGTTAATCCAAAATCAAAATGCGGAAGATGAAAGCGCCGAGGATCAGAAGCGAATAATTTCAACGATAAAAATCGAGAAGGGTAAAGCGAATGACTTTGAAAGCGAAAAGTATTCACTTTCTCTAAACGGAAAAGAATCTGAAGGTCTAATTGAAAATTCCACAGCAGATAAAAGGATATGTGATGGCATAGCGATAGCTAGTTCAACAAAATCCGAAACAGCAGATATTGCATCTAATACACAGCTGGGGAACGAAAATGGTACATTTTTTTTATTATTTACAAAAGCCCTTAATAAATAATATTACCATTAGTGTAAAAGACCCACTTGAGGTTAAGAGAAAATTGTCGTGGTCGAAGAAAGAAGCAGCCATTATAAAATACCTTAATATTCAGTGATCTAAAAAATATAAATAAATAAAAAATAATGTTCTGCCCGAAGAAACCACTTTTTTGGTGAAATATGGGAAAAATAATAAATTAAACACACTTAATTATGCATATGTATGTATATGCATCTAAATTCAAGGCTTATTGATTACGTTCTGTTTGAAAATAGAATTATATATTGTATAAGCGCAAAGACAGGATCAGATAAATACCTACTCTCAGTGCGAAATGATGCCCTACACAAAGGTTAAAACATATTGTAATGTAACAATATATGATAACAGACTGTAAAAGTAATATTTTTTGTGTACTATGAAGTATATAAATTGTTTAAATTGGATTGTAGTTTTCACCATGTATTTTTTTTATCCATGCAAATGGATTTCTTTTTTAATGACCGCCACATTGTATTCGCAGTTGAAAATGATCAAAACGATGTAGGAACTAAATTGAATCAGACGACGAAAACGGATTGTACAACAACCGCTAACGAAATAATATCTGAAAATTGCGGAAAGTTGGACGACATAGAAGCAACTGTTTTGAGAAGTAATGACAAAACTACAGCAGGCACCACACCGGTAAAAAGTTGTCTTTCACGACACAATTCGATGCACACATCTATAAAGAAGAAGGTTAATATCAGTACACAAGCAGAAATAATAGAACCGGATCCTGCTCCTCAATCCCCGCACGAACCCGTTTCATCAAATGTGGACGATGACGATGTTTTTTCTGATTCACTGCCGCCGCCAAAACGCGAAAGTATGTGTGCGCCCTATATTGAGCAAACTGACGTTCCGGAATTAGTGGCATATGCACATGGGCTTCCAGAATGGTTCAATGATGAAAGGATTAATGAAATGTAATGTTCAAAATATTATAATTTAAAGCAAGTAATTTAAAATATGTGGCCAATGAATAGTGAACGAAGGTGAAAATTATAAGTTTTATTAATTGATTTACCAAATCTAAAACAAAAAAATTTACTTACTTCAATAATTTAAGTTAACATTTCTCATGAAAGGCTCAATCAAAAATTTATTAGCCTATAGCATTAGAATTGTTGAAATTATTTTTTTTTCTTAAAATTGTCTTGAAATTGTAAATCCGATATAAGGCTTACAAACAGTTTTATATCACTATTTAATATACTTTTAATAAAAGAACTTCGCAGAGTTATCTCAATTTTTTTGTTTTTTTACAGAGGAGAGACATTCCAATAAATGTCTGTCGTTCATAATTCAATGGTCAGGATATATAAATAAAAATATACGTTTAGTTATTTGTTTCTACGACAGATTTAAAAATACATACAAAAATATTATTAGTTATTCAATATGAACCATTATATTAAAAAACAATCGAAGAAGGAAACTAATTTATTATTCTAAGAATTTTCATATTTATACGTAAAAAAAATAGATACTTTCCATTTTCAATCCCTTTTAAGCAAACTATTTTGTTATTGCAATGTTTTGTTTTGTGATAATTGCATAGATCTCAATTCCATAAATGTAAATAAGATATTTCGTTTGAAATTTTTTTTAATATACAAGTTATGTATTACTTTTTAATTAAATTTCGACAGAATTGAAATTTGCTTTCATGCTTAATTAGTACATATTTACTTACAATAATTTATCTTCAATTGCAACATATACATACCAACACTTTTCATGAATCATGATTAAAAAACTTAAAATTTGTAGTGGCTGCATTGAGCCACCTGTTACGCCTGTAGGTCGCGATGAGCTTGAATTGAGGCGGCAGCGTCTGTATACAGACCTATTGCATGCAGCACATGCGGCGGTAGAGCATAACGTACGCTTTACCTCGTTTGCAACAAATATAACTGGGGATGCGATTAGCAGAATAAGTGGAAGCGTTAGAGGTGATTACATTTTAGTAAATAAGTAAAACGTACTTTGTGTAATACTAATTAAAATACATATATTATCGTATTGCATGGGTCATAACTATTCTTTGTAACAATATAAATATTTCCATTTTCTACCTCATGTGTTAGTTTCGCTCGCACCTTTATTTCCCTTCATTAATAATTTTTTTTTCCCCCCTTTCTTATTAATACTTGACTTAAGATATGGTACCAATCCATAAATCTATTTCGTCCGGAGGTGAATTTGTGACATACTAACCAAATAGGTTTATTCCTAAACCAGCAGTTAACTATATAATTCCTTATTACTATAACTATTTACTATATATTATTATTTCCCTTAACATATGAGATTTATTAGTGATTGACGTATTATGTTAATTTATCAAGAATATTATCTAATATTAATATTTTTACAAATTTTTAATAATCCTGATTTGTATGTACGTATGTAAGGAATGTATGGGAAAACCCGAAAGTTTTCAATAATATATTGAATATTTTAGTTTATTGGTTTTCATAATAGTGTTTATTTATTTAAAAAAAAGTACGTTAAAATGTTTCGTCGAGTGAAGAAACAGTGAGGAGGTCTAGTACATGGTGTGTTTTGAGTCTCATTGTTAATGGCCGAAATTTTTATTTCATCACACTGAGATCTAAAAAAAGTGAAATTTGAATTTAAAATTTTGGTATTAGTATAAATAATAAAAAAATTTTGTTTTTTACTCCAAAAGTTATTGCGTACATCATATTTTTAGATTTCCGTACGTTGTGGATATTTTTGTTTTTAAATATTATAATTATTTTCAACACATAAAGATATTTCAGTATAATAAATGATTGCTTCTCCAAACGCAATATGTTTTTATGAAATATACAGTATAGGATTCAACTTTCTTTTTTACATTACTGCCTTTTATTCATGTATTTCTTATCTTAATTTTTTTAAAGAAAGAATTTCGCTAATAATCTTAATATAAGTAAATGTGTCAAATTTCACTAAGATCGGTAGAGTAGTTAACGAGAAATCTTGACACTCCTTTGAAAACCCAGTTTCGATAAAAACGCATTTAAAGTTTTAACTGGCTATATATGTAGCTGATCTCGAGCGCTCTACTTTTCAATATTACGCGGATCAATTTGAGAATATAAGACCATATTCTAGAGATGTTATAGAATTAAAGAAACCAAAACTATTTTTTGTAAGCCGTGAAACCCATGTAAACCCTTAAGAGAAGATTTCCCCCATGTGTATGCACGTACGGGTATATACCAAAGTTTTCAAACTAATATTATTCATTCGTGCTTTATGGCTTTATGTGGAGATACTTTATCTTATCTTATCAATTTTTTCACTATTGTACGAATGAGAATTCATTCAGTTACCAATTTAATAACTAATGAGTATGGAAGAGCTAAGTTCGTGCGCAGCCAAATTCAGAGATATTGAAAAAACCGTATTATAAACAATATAGACTAGTGGGGGTTTTATTATTCAGTCGCAATTTATACACTGTTATAATAAAAGGCAATGTTCTTAAAAAGTTTTGATTTTGTTGTTGTTGTTGTTGTTGTTGTTGTTGTAACGGCAGAATTCTGCCGAGTTGACAGTCCATGGCCGGATGAAAATCCGGGTCCGTTCCGGTTTTCGTAGACCCGACTGTCGTGGGAACGGGTTTTGATTTTGTAATATCAGGTAATTACATTAGAGCGATAGATGGTGCATCGCTCTTAATTTTAAGATATTTAAAAGTAACGTGTCTCTTCCCGTTGACCCCTTTTTCAAATTTAAGTTTAGATTAATGCCGAAAATCAATCCTCCTTATGATCACTTAATATATGTTACATAACTCAATTACTTTTAGTTTATGTTTTTTACCCCGTATAACATGGTTCAAGAGTATAAAAATGATGGAAACTTAAGAGCTTAGGAGTCTTAACTTTTGCTTTACGGTGGTTCAAATGTTAAGCAAATAATTATAAACTAAGTAAGCGCCGTGATTCATGTGTATAGGTTTGGCTATTTCGTGGCCCGTTTTTTTTTTCAACGGACCTTAATGTGGTTATTGGCTGAATTGATGCTTAATGAACCAATGCGCCTAATAAAGTGAAATAGTTGCAAACAAAGGGCAAAATCAGAATAATTGCTGCTGCCGTTGGCTCTGCTGACCGCAACCGCAAAAACCATGTCCACAGCGGAAGCGTTGATCTCTCCGTTGTAACTGTTTAATTCTGGTACCGTAAAATTGATATTTCTAGCATATAAATATGTGCATATAGGCATTGAATTTTTTAGTAGTGGTAGTAGCAGACTGGTAGTATTCGAATGGGTCAAACATTGAGCGAATGTTGCGGTCGAACTTTGATCATCAACGACACGAGCACTTGCAACAATCCAGGTAGGAAAGTGAAATTAAACAGTCTCTTTGTGTTAATAAAATTACTAACGGAGTTTTTGACAGAATTTTTACTCTATAGAAAATAATAGTGCTGAATATTCAGCAATTAGTTTTCTCATTTAAAATGTGTTGGTACTAAATTTGCATACAACTTAATCTACATTATACATAAATGTATGCATACGTTTGTATGCAAATACACATGTACATATATGTATGTACGAGTGTTCGATCGCAATAAGAACATTGGAAAGTTTATATATAATACAAAATTAAGTACATATTATACCATGAACAATCGTGCGAAAGAATTTGACGAAAGATAGCTGACTGCCAATGCAGAATGAGTCACGTTGTCATATAACGATTGCTTAATATCTATCTACTGATATTTATTCCAACTTTTGCACTTTACAGTGTCGTCTATTTACATATTTAGTGTTTATAAGTGGGCATATTGAGTTATTTTTGCAAACTGTTCCTCGCATATCTTATATTTTATTTATAAAAAATTTAAACATTTAGTATTGCGTTCTATACAAGTAAGAAATCTGTTTTATTTGTATTCGATTTTAATATACTATTCAGATTGTGATCCAGACTTAAAACCATCCGTTGCTGAAAATCTTGAGAAGTTAGTTAATCGTTTAGAACAGTTGGTTGAGCGTTTGGAACATTCGATCTCAGCACGTGAGCTGGAAGTTGCTAATCGCACAATTGATGCAGTTCGAACGAAAAAGCGAGAAAGTTTCAACTTAGAGAGGACCGAATTACCCACAGCGACGCCTACTGAACTATTGCCGCTACAGACGGAAAGCATAAATAACCGAATAGAAAAATTGGAACATTCATTATATCAAATAAACGAACGACACAGCAGCAGTTTGAGTACGAGTAATAGCCAGTGCAGTCAAAAACTCAGAGAACTACAGGAGCACAAACAACAAAAAGAAGAGGATAGCCTTGAAAATATACCGACAGTGCTTGAAGATTATCAAGTGTCCACGCTTCTACCAGTCTCCGAAGGAGAGCAGTATTCGCAGTTAAAGCCGCCGTCCGAAATGAGTGTCCTAGGCTTCCAGAATATTATCAGTGGTCCGCTGAATCAATATTTAGCTCTTTCTGAGAAAATCGGTGGCGATGTTGCAAAACATGCGCAGTTGGTAAAATTAGCATTTGAGTAAGTCGAATGTTTTTTTAATTTGTTATTTGTTTAAGGAATTGTTTTATCATGCATTATTTTCGGTTGGTATTGAATTAACATAATACATTTCAAAATTTAGCCAAATTGAAGTGTACATTTTTATATCCATATATGGTGTTTTTTCAGTGCTCAATCGCAATATGTTACATTGGCCAGTCAATGTTCTCAACCTAACCAAGAGAAGCAAATGGAGTTGCTGAAGCCCACTTCTGTGCAAATTAGCGCTATCCAAGACTATCGTGAAAAGAATCGAGGATCTGCATTTTTTAACCATTTATCGGCTATTAGTGAGAGTATTCCAGCTTTAGGATGGGTCTGCGTGGTAAGAGAAAATAAGATTATACTACGCTCATGCTTAGTTGTTTATATTATCTTAATTAATAGTCACCTACACCTGGACCACATGTAAAAGAAATGAATGATGCCGGTCAATTTTATACAAATCGTGTGTTAAAAGAGTGGAGAGATAAAGATACAACTCACGTAGAGTGGGCAAGAGCATGGATCCAAACATTAACTGAATTGCAATCATACATTAAGCAGTATCATACTACTGGTCTGGTATGGTCTGGTAAAGCTGCAGCACCAGTTGGAGGTTCTGTGCCACCACCACCACCAATTGGTGCTTGCCCACCACCACCACCCCCGCCAACATTCGATATTGGTACAATGTCATTAGATGACGGTGGTGCAGATGATCGCAGTGCTCTATTTGCCGAAATTAATCAAGGCGAGGGCATCACGAAAAGTAACTTTAATAATTATAAAATATGTGAATATCATTTCACACAGTCTTTTTTTTACATAGATTTAAAGAAGGTCACTGCTGACATGCAAACTCATAAGAATCCAACGTTGCGCACTGGTCCAGCTCCATTCAAGACACCTACTCAGTTTGGTTCATCTTCTGGTGGTTCTTCCACTGCTGCTGCTGTTGCAAAAGAGCCAGTATTCACACGTGATGGAAAAAAATGGTTAATTGTAAGGATATTGAAATATTATAATTTAAACAAATTTTGAAAATAACAATTTAAAATCTCGTTGTAGGAATATCAACGTAACAATCGCAATTTGTTAGTGGAAAATGCTGAAATGAACAATGTGGTATATGTGTATAAGTGCGAAGGTTCAACTTTAACTGTTAAGGGCAAAGTTAACAACGTTGTATTAGACTCATGTAAAAAATGTTCTTTACTATTTGATTCAGTTGTCGCGTCAGTAGAATTCGTAAATTGTCAAAGTGTCCAAATGCAGGTTAGTTCTTTCAAAGTTCAATTTATGTTTCATCTCCATTTTGTATTCGTTAGTGGTAGTAATAATAAATTACGATGTAAATTATACAAATTCACAAAAATTTTATTAGGTTCTTGGTTTCGTACCAACTATATCAATTGATAAAACCGATGGCTGTCAAATGTATCTATCCAATGAATCAATCGGTGTGGAAATTGTAAGCTCAAAGTCTTCCGAAATGAATGTTATGCTTCCCCAAGCCAGTGGAGATTATGTAAGTATATATTTGACGTATAGTTTAATAGAGATTAAAATATTAACATTATATTGTACTTAATGCAGATTGAGTTAGCTTTGCCGGAGCAGTTCAAGACCACTATTTCGGGACAATCACTGAAAACTAGTTGCGTGGAAAGTCTTGGTTAAACTCATTCAATGACGAAGATGGCTTCAAACCGCCAAAAAAAAAATTCATCGAAGCAGATGCAATGGAGTATTTACATAAAATTGAACATACATATTTACAAAAACTCATTTTGCTACTCCAATTCACTTTTTATATAAGTAATTTATACTATGAAGCATCGGTGTTGAATACACAGGTTTTAATCAAAAACAAAAAAAAAAATACAAAATAAAGTTTTTAAGATTACAGTCGTTTAGTACCAATTGGGTGTATTGCAACAAACTAAAAAGTTTTTATTGCCTGTTTTATATTTGTAAAGAAAAAATTAATGCTACTAAATTTATATTTATAGTTGTGTTATTTATTTATCACACATCAATATAAAAAATGATAATTTTGAATTAATTTCTAAATTTCATTAATATGTCTTAATTCAAGTATTCAATAAGTAATGCAAATAAAAGCAATTTACTACCAGTTTACAAAGCAAATTATATAAGTTTTTTTTTTATGTTGAAAGCTAGGGTAATTAAAAAGGAAAGATTTGAGGAATTAATGAAAATAAATTCAAATTTATACAGAATCACGAGATTATTAATTTTATTGGTTTGGGTGCTAAATTTTTGGTAAAGCAGAGCAGACATATTTTTATTATTTATTGAATAATCCTATAAGTTTTTTGTTGTTATTGCAAAGCAGTGAATGTTCCAGTATAAAGGTTAAAACTATCTTAATTTTTATGCAACATTGTTGCAATTTTAAAAAATAATTTGATAAATTTTGTATTAGCGAATAAACCTTAAACTGTATGAATACAACGTTATACATACATACATTTTTATAGGAATATATATTTTCATAACATTAATATAATTTATAAATGTACATGTGTACATACATTTACAAATAAGAAGTATAATGATGTGAATATTGGCCGTATTTAACAAATCTGAGGGAGTGTTCGCAAAGGGCAATCCAATATCAGCCACATTAGATTTTTTTGTATTCAATGCGCTCGACTTTCACTTCGTCGCCAATAAGTTGGTATACATATGTCACAACAGTTGTACTTTGAATATCCATAAGTACAAAAGATGGTATTACATTTACGTCTAGAGGGTTAAAAGCACCAGTAGCAGAACCGGGGTTGATATAGAATTTATTTCCATGTTCATAAGCTTCAAATTTATATGTATGACCCGATATTAATATATCTACATCTAATTGACGCTGAATCAATGCTAGAGCTTCTGGATCGCCACGGGGCACAACCTGATGTCCATGTGACAGTCCAATTCGAAACTGTCCAACTGTAACTACCTTCTGCTCGGGGTAACTCAAATTTTCATCAAATTCTCCGCGAACGATGTGTACGTCATTGGCCAATGTCTTCAGGTAATCGTAGGTTTCCTTTGTGCAAAGATTGCCTGTGCAAAGTATATGGTGAATACGTCCTGGTACCAATAACTTTTTGAATTTCGCCGGTAAACTGGCACACCGATGTGGGATATGAAGATCACCGAGAACAAGAACCAGCATATTGGAGGCGTATTTTCTAACTTATCGGTTGATGAAAATATAAACTCTTTTATCATAAACTTTTTCGCTTCTGATTAACTTTAAACATCACAAATTCAGCTGATTGTCAAAATAGGGTATGTTCAACAAAAACTAATACCTCCATTACGGGGCATTTCGACAGGATAAAATCTATACCTTACAAAGTGTCAAATCTATTGCTATTGCCATTGCCAAATCTGTATGTGGGCATTTGTTATCTTGATATAATCATTTGCGCAAAGGCTTAGGCAGAGAATGTAAAGTATCGCTGTCAAAAATGAAACAAAATATAAACAAGCAAAACGAAATTCTTCGTTGCGAGTTTCTTCATATTCTCTGCTTTYGCATATATGCCATGCCGTAAATACATATATTTATTTCTCTTCATATTCTCTGTTATAATATGTGAGAGAATTGTAAAAAATGTTAAAATTGTGAGGCGAATGCCGACCTACAMTGTTAACAAATGCGGCGAATTCCTTAGCCGAAATCTAACAAATGTTCGCAGTCGAACCTGCACCTTCTCTATACTTTACATTCTCTGGTTGAAGTGACAGCTTATTGCTTACGATATATGGCAAACTAATTAGTATTCCATATATTGTAAGCAATGTGCAGTCTCCACAGGCAATAGGCACGGCAATACAGTTAGTAAGACATAGATTTTACCCCGTTAAGTAAGTACGCTAAGTTATTTTTCATTGCAAGCTCAATAGTTTTGGTAGCATTAGTTAATTTTTCATTTATCTACTGTTGTTAACTATCTCAAAATGAATAAACAACAAGATGTTGGTGAGTCTTCTTCATTATTGGTTTACTTCTATTTTTATAATTTGCTTTTTTAGAGACGAATAAATTTAGCTTGCTGGTAATTGTGCTAGACACCAATCCATCACAACGCATAGTGCGCCAAAATGCCCAGTTACTTACCCAATGTGTGGATGCCATTATTGCCTTTGGTAATGCACACCTGATGCAGTGTTCACAAAATAAATTGGCTGTTCTTTCCTGTCATCATCACGCCACGTACGAAAGTCTGAATATGTGAACTATTTTAATTGAAAGAGCCTCGTATATTTTTCAGTGACTTTCTGTACCCTTTGCCTGGAAAGCAGTTAGATGTTCGCCAGATTGATGGACAGTATGAAGTATTCAGTTTGGTCGAGAAGACTGTAAAACAACGCCTAAGCCATATTATTACTAACTCACAAAAATTGAATGCACCTTGCGAAAGTATTTTAGCAGGCAGCATGGCGATGGCTTTATGCTACATTTCTAGAGTAAGTTCGCAGAAGACAGATCTTAATAATTTAAATAGAAATTTTAACGTGTAATATTATTCTCCAGATTCAACGTAATGCCGCTGCAGGTGTAAAAATGCACTCCCGTATACTAGTTGTAACAGGCAGTAATGAATGTGCTTCTCAGTACATGACGTATATGAATGTTTTTTTCACGGCTCAGAAACTAGGGATTACAATTGATGTTTGCGCAATGGATAAAACGATGAGTCTTTTGCAACAGGGTTGCGATATCACGGGCGGACAATATTTACGCCTTACACAGTTAGATGGGTTATTACAATATTTGCTATGGGTGTTTTTGCCCGACCCACAGATGCGCCAGAAGTTGGTACTGCCTCCTGCAACAAAAGTTGACTACAGAGCAGCTTGCTTTTGTCACCGCGAGCTGATTGATATTGGCTATGTTTGTTCGGTGTGTTTATCCAGTAAGTTTGTTATATATATCTTAACATATTTATTATTTATAACAGAAATTTTAATTTTTCACTTATTTCAGTATTTTGCAAATTTAGTCCGATTTGCACCACTTGTCAGTAAGTTGTTTTTAAATTTACGTAGCATAATTTTTAAACATTTCCTATAGTAAATCAGATATCATAATACTCGTTTTTTTACAGTACGGTTTTTAAAATACCCGGACCCATGCCCATTAAACCAAAGAAAAAGAAAAAGATCTAATTGTAATTTACTTAAACAAATTTTTATATAATTAACTTAACTTATGCCAAAAATATATCTTATTTTTGTCAAATTACATATTTCTCATCAATTTACAGAAATACATTGGGCCATAGTTAGCTGGCAAATAGGGGAGCACCAGTTGTCCATACTTTAGAACCCTATGGTTTTCGAATTTAAATATGTCCTCGAAGAACCTAATTATGTAACTTAGATCTTTAACTGTAGCGGTTATACCATTTTCGTTAAAAGCCTTCTGTAGCGCCATATGTACAACTCCATCGTTCTGCACAGGTGAAAGTGAACATGTTGAATAAATTAAACTGCCACCTGGTTTTAATAGTCGTAAACAATTCGAGAGGATGTCAGCTTGTAGTTCAGGAATCCGTAGTCGTTCTTTTATACGAGTCGATTTAAATATATTGTTATCATTTACGGTCACAGAATGGCGGTCTGTTGTACATGGCACATCAACCAGAATCTTATCAAAGCTCTCGTAATTATCCATATATTTTGCATCACATTGGTTGAAAATTATTCGTTTATTTTCCCATTTATCTTTATAGTCAAATATGTACTCTTGCATTACTTTACGAATTCGGTTGAGACGCGATTCTTGTATGTCATTACAAATCAAAGTGTCTGGGAAAAGCGTTTGTAGCATTATCAGTGATTTTCCACCTGGTGCGGCACAGGCATCCAAAACGCGCTCACCTTGTTTAATGTCTAAAAATAATGGTGGCAGCACTGATGCACCATCTAATAGATAATGTGAGAGCGCCCCTAGACAGAACAATTAGATTTAAAATGCCTTTGTTGTAAAAAATTGTGTACCTGTTAAACATTTTTTTGGCGTAATGAATTCTGAACAATTCCCGATCTCGTAGGTGTATAATTTTAGATTATCTGGATAACAGAACTCCGTTTCCAACTCAAATTTTAAAGGAAAATCCGTATGTGTAGAATAGTATTTATAATGATTTGACTCGGGAATCCAATCTTCCATCCCTTTTATTTTGTTTGCCGGCATAAACTCATATAAGCCCCCTGTCCCATACTGTGGATCTATTAATCGGCTATTGGCTAATTGAGTATTATTTTCAATCGCCATTTCAAGACTTTCTATAAATTTTTGATTCTCTCCATTCTCTGAATTGCTTTTAAATTCTGTCGTGTTGCCTGCACAATGTTGCAGCTGAACGGATGTTTCTGCCATTGAACTTATAGGATATAACGACTGTTTTTCACGTTCTTCCTGTCTACATAGTACTTTGAATAGGTTTTCATCTAGCGTATTATTTGAACCATTTATCGACATATTGTAGCTATGCCCAAGGCGGTCTTCTACTACTTTTACTAGAGATTTTATATTTAAAGCTCCTAAAAAAATATATTGTACATAATATGATATTAATTTATTGACACTTCCTACCGCTTAATTCCATTCCATTGCAAGTTTTATCTGCATCTCCAAAGTTATTTACTACAGCTATATATTTATGCTCTGTTAATAACGCTACTCGAATGTTTTTCCAACGAATGCCAAAAACTGATCCATAAAAGTCATCAAAACTTTCTAGAGCTCGCTGAATATTCGTTTTTTTTCCTTTGAATGCCTACAAAAATTTATTCTAATGTATCATTAGTTGACTATTATTCCATACACGCACCCATCGCTGACTTTTTAATCTCATTTGCAAGTAAACTAGGCTATTAACTCGTAACATTTTTAAAGATTTTTATAAAACACGTTTCCCGCTCTTATTCGACTACTGCATCAAATTCATATGTGTTTGTTTCCTAACTGTTACCGACAGTAAGAATATTTAAGTTACCAATTATCAAAACCAAAAAATTGCTCAAAATACCGAGAGAATTAAATACAGCATTTAGAAAAAGTAAAAATTTTACTAGTCAAAATGAGCTACTGTCAAATAAAAATCAGCTGTTGTAATCACATGGGTAAACAAGCACACTAGAAGCATTTCTTTTGATTTCATTAATTTTACATTGTTAGGTTAAAAAACATTGATAGGTTTTAAAAATTTTAAATAGTAATAAAGGTGCAAAGATGTTAGTGTTTATACTCATTATGCGTACATTTTTGTTAGTTTATTCGATTATTTAATTAATATAAATGTATTTACATTTTTTATTTTGCATTAGCTTAAATGATCTTGTTAAGTAATTTTATTCAACAGTATATTGATGTTGTTGTAGGAAATACGTATAGTGGGTTTGGCGGGGCATGCACAGAGGTGGTTAATATGTTAAAGGTATTATGGATAAGTAGGAGTTTTACCTGCTACAGTACTCGGAACGAAGTTGACCAAGAGTTTTACGCGGTAACTCGTAATGCTCACTAATACTCACTGTATGTGATGGATGGTGATTGAACTCCAAAGACGAAGTTCATTGAGATGGAGTCGACAAAATGTTAATAGCTCCACTGTGAATGACGTTCAATAAATTATCGTGTCCGAAATTGCGTTGGTAACAAAAGTGCTTCACGAAAGACATTAAGGGCCATCTTGTGATTGTCTGGTGTTCTGTCTTGTCTGTATTTGCTTCAGATGCGTCCTTATGAATTCTGCGAAGATATTATTAGGCGTAGACTAAATATGTTCAGAGTATAGAATTTTAGGCTCCTTGCATGAAGAAATGAGAAAGGTCAAAAAGATGGGGTTCCAGTGCTTGAAATAAATATCGTGCATTCAGCAGCGCATGAGAAAATATCACTATGCGAAACTCCCTATTTAATTTTTCTTAGCATAAAATTTTGCCCTCGTTGACGACCGCTCAGATAATTCATACTCATCTTTTCCGCCCGGAAGGAAGCGTGGATTGTTCAATATCTTCCAGTAGTGTTATGTCATTGGTAGTGTCAAATGTTTTCCGTCTCCGTCCAAAGGTGGATATAAATTGTCGCCTACTAGATCGCGCTTTCTCTAGAGTCTGAGATGCATGACTATCGAATTCGGTTTCATCCCTGACATCAAATCCATAACTTTCTTGCAACGGCGAATAACTGGAAATGTTTCCTAGTTGAGTTCCTCGCTACGGTGAAGGACCATTGTTGACAGTCCTTGGCCGGATAAAACTCCGGGTCCGTTCCGGTTTTCGTAGACCCGACTGTCGTGGGAACGGTCATTGTTCGTCACTCGACTGGAGTGGTGCCGCGAAGTACCTGTAGAGGCTAATAACGCCCTTGTGCGTTGGTACAATTAGGCCACATAACTTTTGGTCTATTCCCTATGAATTTTAAGGTCTCAGCAGATCTCAAGAGCAAAGGCTAATGACGCTCTCGTGCGTAGGCAAGATTGAGCCATATAATTTGTAGTTTACTCTCTATGAATCCTATGGCCTAGACACGTCTTAAGATGACTCTATTCCCTAACCATGCAAACGGTGTAGTTTGAATGGAGCTTCTTTGCAGTAGAAAAATTAATTCCTCCGAGCCCTTGTTGGTCTTAATGCCAGTACGGATCCGGAAGATATAGAGCAATTCGGCTAGTAGGAGTTGCTCTAATGATAACATACAGTATTAAATCTTTGAAATAAATTGTGGGTCAATTCCGGTAACGCTGAACCACCTGCGCGAAACTATGTGTATGTATAAATAATTGATATATTCCAAAAACCGGTTTCTGTTTCGATAATATAGGACGAATAAGAAAAATGGTAGATAAAAACACAAACCAGTTGACTTTCCTTCTGCCTAATATTCAGGCCCAACAACCTTCAAACCGTTCAAACTATTTTATTTTATTATTTGTATAATGTTCAATATCATGTCGAGTTTATACATAGGTGTTTGCTACTTGTTCTTCAGAAAAGGAGCAGACCATTTGCTTTCTTATTTGTTAAAGTAAGCTATAAATACATACATACGTGTTTTCTATAGGAATATATTATTTATTCAAGTCAGTTACGCTCTTTTTAAGTAAAACACCATTCCCGTTCTAAAAGATATCAACGATAATATCCTGCGCATACCTTCCAGGAAAAAAATTCATAATATCTTTGTGGATACCAAATTTAATGAATAAGTATGTTTGAAAATGTGTACATTATGTACATTCTAATTATTTTATGGCTGTCGCGTACGTACTATATTTAATTTCACTAACTTAATAGAAGCCTATGTTATTTTGAAAAAATACAAATTTGAGGTCAGAAAACTATATAAATGTATATATGTAAGTATGTAACATTTGTTATATATACATAACATATATACGTGGTATATGACTGTTTAGTGTCCATTTTGTTTAACACATACAATTTTAAAAGTTTTTATGACACTTTGAGGAATTTCAATACTTTTTTTTACACATTTTTGTCTATGTATATGTGTATACTTATATAGTACGTCATATATGAAATTAATGAAGTTATTGGTTATTGTATTTAAATTTACGCATATGTATACAACTAATGTTTAATAAATGTAAAAATTAACAACAACTGAGATAACATAAGCTCTTCGCATTTTTGGGTGCTGAAAATTTTTAGACATTGTCCTTTACTGGTTGAGCCTTCAATGGTGTCGATTCGTCCTTTCCTTCTTTTTTCTCGATCTTATTCCATGATTGTTCCTCGCCTGAGCCAAATATTACAAATACAAGGAACTCGATAGCGAAAAGGACTATAGTTACATAGAAAATTATACGCCAAGCCCCAATTGTTTGCTATAAAATAAAAATTTCACACAGTTCTGCTTGGAGTAAGATGTAAACTTACATTATTCGTTGTAATAAAACCGACAAATATTGGAACTATGATGCCGGGAATTGTTGCAGCAGTGTTGGTAATTGCAACCAGTGTACCAGCGTAGTTAGGAGCAATATCAATGTGATTAGAAAGGAATCCAGAAAACATGCCACCCATGCCAATGATTCCAATTGTCATGATGATAACAGCTGCTGTGTGCTTACAACCGATGTTGCACAATGCCAAAAGGCAAATACCGGGTATGATTGTACATATACTTGTGGCAGTTTTGCGCGCAGTAGTGGTAGTAATTTTTCCTGAAAAAGAAGACA